GCGAATGAACATGTTCAAGGCTCTGCAGCGCGAATGCATGCGGGTATGCTGAAGAGCATAAGCATGAGCTTCATCAACAACCTTTGCCACATTATTCAAAATGCGGTCATGAGGAAGGTTGGTGTACATTGTGGTGAAATCAATCGTGCGAGGAGAGAGGCCACGTAGAGAGGACACATTGTTTTTCAGGTCAATCGCCACCTCATCGGCACTCTAGACGATCTTGCACCGTCGAACACCTTCCTGTTGATAGAGCTCAGTGTCTTTCTCACGAAGAGTAGAGATCACGCCTTGCAAAGCAGTGCTGAGACAGGACGAAGTAGCCGTTGTGCTAGCCAAGGGTTTGTGAGGAGGCCGTTCATGAATGGTGCGAATAGAAGGACGAGAGCGAGTGCGTGGGGGGACAGGACAAGTATTTTGTGCTGTGACTCCGAGAATGCTGCGAAGAGCTGGAGGAGACTTGTGGGCTTTCAACACATAGTATAGGTAAGGCAGGGTATCAGTGTGGGTATAACCCCAATGGTGATTCCATAGTGCATGGTGGTTRAGCACATCAGCRACGRATTCATGAGGACGAGTATAAGTGGGACTGTCCAAATGGGTAGAGAGGTGAAACAAATACCAATTCTTGCAACAAATTGCCAAATTGTGGGATGATTTGTCCACAGGAACAATGGCAAAGTGTTGTTGCAGATGGCGTAAGGAGGCATGTGCACAACGAAGTGAATGTTGTTGGCTCACATGATTGGCAGACGAAGTCACATTGGATTGACAATGCCCAAGGATTGCAGAACGCCAGCTGTGCAATTTCTGAGAAAGGGACGAGAAAGAAGTATATATATATATATCGTCACAAACAGAACTGCCCGGTAAACCGTAGGCAGAGAGAGAGAAGAGGACAACAAACGAGGGGCTGTGACAAACTGTTTCGTCGGAGTTTCACCGACTCATCAGGAGGCTATCATCATATGGAACTGCCCTGTAAACCGTAGGCAGAGTAGGAGAGCAGGATAACAAACAAGGGGCTGTGATATATACAACATCCATGATTATATATATTAACCATATTGGCACTGACGAGCAGCTTCTACAGAGTTCTTCGGAAACTGAAAGCTTAGCTATTACCTGGAGGCAAAGCAGCGCTCCCTGCGAAACTTCTGCTCCCCGGCACATGGTCTTCTGAGGGGCTTTCTGAATCTGGTTTGAAGTTGATGCCATGTTGCCATGGTGTTGTCCTCCTCCCTCCCCCTCCCTCAGGATTGTGTCCATATGCCTTTATCTTCTTCTGAAAATCCCAGTTTGCGGCTACTCCAACCCCACCCTCTTCATCACTTTCACATTCTGCTGCAATATCTTCTTCTGGGTTATCAGTAGGCCCTAGTTTCTTGGTTGCCTTGGAAGTCATCGATGGTCCCGTCTTCTTCTTCTGCTTGGACTTCCCCTCAGGCTCTTCCTCATCGCCGGCAGTTAAGTCATCAGCTGCCAGGGATGCCATTGATGCTGCCATCGTTGTGCGTAGATTGTCTCTTTCGTCCTGCCAATGCAGCAAAAAAAAAATAAAAAAATTGAGTGAGCTGAAAGGGATGGTGAAATGCATTGTGGGTAAGAAGGCAAGGCAGCAAGCACCATGATCGAAGCGGAATGCAGGGCTGAGGGCACTGCCATCGAATGGGCAAGGGCAAAAGCTATTGTTGTCGTGTTTTAACTTTTAAGGGCATTCATTCTTCAGTACTTTCACACACAAGAGTGGAACGGGAGAGCAAGATGATCTCTCTTTTTTTTCCCTTTTCTAGCAAATACTCTTTTTTCGTAGCATCCTGTATTTCAGCAGATAAACATTGATCTAAACTTACATATTGTTTTGTCAAACGTCGTCTCGACAAGGCGCCTTCACGAATCCACCGAAGAGCTAAGGAGGCTTCTTGGCGACTCTTTGGTATACTTGATGGGACTAATTGGTGGTTCCAGATAATTGGTGGTTCACTGGTTCCAGAGTGTTTTTTTTTTTTTTTTTTTTTTTTTTTTTTTTAATTTTTTTTTTTTTTAAGAGAGCAAGACAAGTAAGT